CTTAGCTGGATGAAGGTCTAACAGTAGAAGATCTGAGCTGAGCTGGATGAAGGTCTAACAGTAGAAGATCTGAGCAGCATCTTGTCCTTCTAGCTACAGAGGATCCTGGTCTCCTAAACCACCAACCAGTCAGAGGGTTTGTGAAGAGCATCATTGTAAAATATTGCTGGAAAGCCGAGACTTTGGGCCCAGAGAGGCCGTCAAGGCTGACCGGGAAGATCACAGGACATCAGAGATGGAGGATCCACCAACCTGGTGAGTCCACGGCGCTGCTTCTGCTTCCAAACGGGTCAACGCATCCAGAAACAACCGGGGGGGAAAATTTCAGGTCCAGACATCCATTGTTCCAACCCTCCCCCCCAACCCCCGACCCCACCCAGATCTTCTTCTGCTCTCAGTGTTTGACTCTTTCTGCTGCTGGACTTTAACTCCAGACAGAGAAGGTCCAACGATGTGGCGCCATGACGGGTGCCGCCGCCCCTGATGGGGCTCTAAATGAGAGACAGGAGCCCCAGGAGGCCCCAGGAGGCCCCAACCTCTCCTGGATCTTTTCCCTTTCTTAACTTCAGCCATTTTTTTCCCATCTTCTGGAAAATACATTTTTATTTAACCGTCTGCATTCAGTCAGGAGGAAAAATGTTGGGAGGATCCTTGATCAACTATATCCAAGTGCTCCCGTTTCTCCTTTCCCCCCCTGTCTTTATAAACGGGACAAGTTTCATCTAAACCTGGAGGTAGAGTTGGAGCAAGAGCGCCCCCTGCTGTAAACACAACGAACTCCATCTAAGTCATAAAAAAAGCCGCGCTAACAGAAAAAAATAATGTTTTTATGTTTTTTAGTAAAGAAGTAAAATCTATAGAGATGAAGTCCTGCTCTAATTAATGTTTTTAAATAGATATTTAGAGTCTCTAACGTCGCTGAAGTTAAAGTCATGATTTAGAGGCAACATCTGGTCTGAAAGCTGCCTCCATAAATCTGAGGCAGATTTCAGGACATTTGTCAAATTCCTGCAAAGGGAAACAAAACTGAGGCTGTGGAGAGAAAAATAGTTCAACAAATCAAACGCACACTTTTTCCTTTCTCAGAGTTTATTCAGACTTTTCTGTTGGAGGTAAAGAGAAGGTGAGAGGAGCTGGAAGTCAGATTGAGGGTTGGAAGAGGAGGAGGAGGAGGAGGAGAAGCAGCTTTACCTGAGTCCTGGGCCTGGGAGGAGGACAGCTGCAGCAGGAGGGCCAGGAGGGCCAAGGCAGCCAGAGACAACCTGCTCTTCATCTTCAGCTCCTCTGCCTCAGCTGTACAAAGGAAAAGCTGCAAGGAGGAGGAGGAGGTTAGAGCTGCAGCTTCCTTAAAGTAAAACTCATAATGTCTCCCTGAAAAATACTCCTCAACTTTAACATAAAGCAAAATATAAATGCGCAACAAAAACGTCAAACACCGCAGAAGCTCCAATCTAAAGTTCCCATCTTCCAACCATCAGAAGGTTTTTTTTTTTCCACTCAGAGTTTCTGTTCTGTTGCAGAACATTAGGAACCAAATGACTTCAACTTATGTTCAAAGGAATTAAGTTTTCTTTTCCTCTCAGTGTTCAGAAAAGGCTGGAAGAAGGTTCGGTTCCGTGCGTAATTACGCACAGCGGTGTCAAGAAACGGACGGGATTCTAGAACCGAAATGAATCAAATAAAACTTAAACCTCCTTTAAATATCTGCATGAAAAGCTCCATTAAAGTCAACTTTTATTCATTTTTTATCATAAAGAAGAGTGTTAAATAGTTCTCTCCTGCTGGAGAACAATTATTAATTATTTCCACGTAGAAAATCCAGGTAAGAAATGAAGCTGTTTTATGAAGCACATCTACAAACATAGCAGTGCAGTTCCAGTAAATCAGAAAATACAGGAGAAAATTAGATATTTTATTCTTTACATGGAGCCAATAACTTTGTTTTTACTCCATGTGGCTCAAGAGCTATAAAAGTTTGAAATTGGAGAATAATCCAGACTCACCTGCGGATGGAACCGCTGAAAATCTGAGTGAATAAATGAGTTAAAGCCTCTGCGGATCCCAGCCTGAGAAAAACCGAGTCCTGGTGTGGTCCGCTGCCGAGTCCACGATCTGCGTGGGTTCCCGACGCGTCGGAGAGTCTCCTTCCAAGTGGGGAGAGTTCCCAGACGGTCTGCTACTTAACAGGAGGGGGGGCTCTCCAAACTCTTACGACACGCAGCCGGGCCAGAAAGGGGCGCGTAACCTCTGAGAGGGCTGGCAGACTCACGGAAACTTTTCCATAGTTTTCTGCATTCCTTTCCGCTGATGGAGGATCTGTGCGCCCCGGCTGCGCATGGAGACAGCGGCGCAGCGCGGAAAGGGGGTCAGGAAAACTGTCTGAGGGCTTTATTCCCGTTGGATTCCGGGGATTATGGGGAAAATATTCCTCAGCGCAGAAGACTAAAGCCTGAGTCAAGCTTTTTCCTACTTTTAAACCCATCATTGTGGGTTTGTTTCAAAGGGCGCTTGAATTATCTGGGAAAAGTTCTGACACGTGTCCAGGACTGGTTTCAGGTGTTTTTCATTCATGGGTTCATTTTAGAGCTGAATAAAGCAGCTGAAGGTTCGTGGCGCGTTAAGGTTCCCAGGGGACCAGAAAGGGCCTTCAGGGCCATAAATGCAGATTCCTGGCATCTGGAGACAGATCCATCCTTAAAACCAGAGCGGAGGAATAAAAACCCAACATCAGCTGTTCTGAATGAGCGCTAATGTCAGCTGTTATGCAAGTTTGATCAAATCCATCAGGATGTGCTGAAAGGAACGATGCGTGACGTAATTATCGCTGCCAAACCGCGTTTTGGCTTTTTAATTAGATCTTAGAGACTTGCATCGTGGCGCCAAGTCGGAACATCTGTGCGGCCTCTGGCGCCCTCTGGTGGCAGCCTGGCAGATGTTCAGCTCTGAGTGGATCCATGAATCCTCACCTGGATGATGATGATGATGGTGATGCGCGTGTCCTGATTGGTCAGAGCTCATCCTGATGAGCTGCTGGTCTCCACAAGGTGGCGCCGCAGCCTCAAGGTCAAGATGTGTCCCAGAGTGACATTAAATATTTCATTTAATTTGAGTAAATGTAATAATTTAAGTAAATCTAATTAGAGAAAGTGCATTAAAATGCAACATAAAGATTATTAGATAAAAAATCAGTCTTTTAAAACAGTTAAATTATTAAAATTATTGAATGACAGCTCCAATTTTACCATATCTGCAACATTTATTCCTGTCATGGAAACATTCTGCTGATATCTGGTTGGTCAGCTGTTCACTGCAGGCCAATCAGCTTCAGAGTATCAGCTTTAGCTCCGCCCACTTTGACTGTAAAACATGAGCAGCGAAATACTTTACTTTTATTGTGCAGATTGTGATTTTATTCTATTATTGCTGCAAAAAAAAATTATAAAAAAAATAACACATTGGTTTCCAATTATTAAAATATGTATATACTGATATTTACATTTTTTATAAAGTTCTCAGGTCGAGTTTTAAAGCAAAAGTCCGCTTATATTCAGAATTCAAACTTCTGAAAGTAAAAAGGAAATGATTCCATACTGTTCAATAAATTATTAGTTTGCTTTTTTTTATTCTTTACTGGAGGCATCCATGTTTG